GCCTTTGACGACAAACCTGAGAAAACTTGCAGACCGAGTACATGATGAAAATATGCACATACAGAGTTTACCTTTAATGATGACAGAGCGATCAGTAGATACAAAGATAGAGGCAATGGATGTTATATACAAATCTTGAGTTTTCAAGTAAAAGTTAAGCTTGTCCCCATCCCAAACCTATTAGCTCTTCAATGTGAAGGGCAGCCTCAGTGTAACCAAAAGGTCTAAAGAAGTATGCAGACCATGTGGAGTCAAAGTCAACATTTACTGGATTCAGCTTACCGTACTCTATCGCTGGATCTGCTGATCATGTTGACATCCAATGATGCATTTTCTCATTATATGCTCTTAATAGTCCAGGTTTGTGATATGATTACGTTAACCCCTTCGTGACTGACGACGTACAGTGTACGTCGCCAGCATCGGGGCTGTTTAAACAGACTCCCGGCGACTTTTGCCGCCGGGACTCTGTTTAAACTTGTAGAGCCGACTGTCGGCTTTACAACAGAAGCGATCCTGGCGACTTACCTGTCGCCAGATCGCTTCTGCGTCCCGAAGAAGAATATAACATGGGTGCAAAAATTGAAAAAAGGGCCTCAGTCATGAAGGGGTTAAAAGCAAATAAGGTACTCCATTGTCAACGTTCCAACATAAGAACAGACAACACAAGGTGAAATCACCAGCACTCAGCAAATGAAATTCAAAAAATGTCCATTTATTTGGACTAAAAGTCACACATATCGCATAATCCAACGTACAGCCTCCTGTGACAGTGTAAGAGTCCAGGGCTTACTACGCATGCGGCAATGGCGCGTTGCCGCAAGAGGAAATCTGCGCCAACTGCGCATGCGTCAAAGACACATGTCAGTGCGCCAACCCGCGCATGCGCAGAAGACCTGATGGAAAAAGGCAGGAAAATGCCCAGGAGGCGCACAGGAAGTGACCTCAACCTGATAGAAAAAGGCAGGAAAATGCCCAGGAGGCGCACAGGAAGTGACCTTAACCTGATGGAAAAAGGCGGGAAAATGCCCAGGAGGCGCACAGGAAGTGACCTCAAACGTCAATCATAATTTCCCTATATAAGCCCAGCCCAGACATTGCCAAATTGCTGGATTATCTTCAGTCCCCCCTTGTTCCTGTGCTAGTGTGTGATCTGCCTGAACTTGTTGTGACCTGTAAACCTATTTGACTACTCTTGATTGCTGCCTGCCATTGACCTCGGATTTGTACCTTGACCATTCTACTTCTTTGCCCCTTTTGTACTCAGCTGCCAGATTGGAACTGACCCCGGCTTGGATCTTGACTATTCTTCTCTGATTAACCCTTGTGTACTTCGTTGCCAGAGTAGACTTGACCTCGACTCGGATCTCGGACTAAGGCTTGCACGGTGCTCCGCACCCGTGTCACTCGGTGTCCACCAAGTCTCTGTCTCCATCTCCAGAGACTTCAAGGACCCGAGGTGCAAGGGAGGCCTCCCCATTACTTCGGCCTCACCTCAGGTACGTGGCTCCCGTGACAGACAGACTAGGAGAGTGGTGGTGTGGGACAGCTGATGGCTGTCTCCGCCCCCACACCGTGGCTCTCCTGATCTGTCACAGCCTCCTGTGACAGATCAGGAGAGCGGCAGTGTGGGGGCGGAAACAGCTGCCACAGGAGGCTGGGCGTGGGGGAGGGGTCAGCAGTCAGAAGAGACAGAGCTCTCCTCCCTGCACTGCCCGCTCAGCCTCCTGTGACAGCAAGTAGGTCAAATAGCTGAAAAAGTTAAAGTGACACTAAAATCTATTAACAATATTGGAACTTATTTGTGTGATTTGAGGATCTACAGCTGAGTGATGCACAAATAAGACACATTTCTTGTTAATAGTTAAGGCACTTGAATGCATTTGTAAGATTTACCGCCTGAGTTTAGTGTAGGGTTGCCAAGTTTTCCTCAAGTGAAACCCGAACACTCTAGCGATGCAGAGACATTTTTTGGGGCTTATTCATATGCAAATAGCGCCACCCATTCGTATCTAAATTTTACAGTTGAGACTATTTCCAGTGGGGGGCCAGTAGCCCCTGTCTTAATTTTGGTTGCCCCTGTCTGCCTGACACCTTGTGTCTGTGTTTCTGCTGCCATGAAACCTGGACACAGCATTCAAAACCCAGAATGTCCAGGTGAATGCTGCACAGGTGGCAACCCTAGTTTAGTGTCACTTTACCACTTTTGTTAAAGCTGAAGCAAAGGCATTAACTAACCCCCTGGAGCTTTCAGCTAGAATGTGGTCGTATGCACTTCATGATAGCACATCACGGCAGACATCTGCCAAAGTTATCCCTTCCAGCACTGTGATCCCTTCTCACCAGCCCTTCCATCTTCTCCCCGGATTTGAGTCTTCGCTCGCTGGATTGGCTGGGCCCTGATGATGTAAATCCTGTGCATGCCTATAGAAGTCACTTCATCTCAGTATGGCAGGTTTGTGTGCGGAGCTGCACATACACGGCTCGTCGTACAGAAGATAAAATATTGCTGAATGGTAGAAAGAAACTTTTATGGCATCAGAGACTTACACGTTCCCTTCTGCCGTAGAAAGCTTGGCGATTTTTTAGGCGCTTTGCTTCCACTTTAAAATCTGTGTTCTCGAACCGGAGCTGGAGGGCCCTTTCAAGGCTTCACAAAAGCGTGCCGTTCACATTGTGAACGGCTCTGTGACCGAAAGCCTTGTCCACACAGGCTTCAGCTTGTATGAGTGACAAGACAGGAAGGGAGGAAATCACATTCCCCAAACCCCTCCCCACTCACCTGAATGGCAGGGTTCTTTTCCCCACAGCTTTCGGTGTTGGTTGAAATCTGCAGTGTGCGGTTCTGTCTGCACCATTTACAGGGATCTGCGAATGGAAGACTACAAGTCATATATGCCACCACAGACGGACTCATAGATCTCAATGGAGCACAGCACAGCAACATCACCACACTTGTAGTCCATTGATCACTTCCTCCAGTGTCATATAGACAGGTCTGTGTCCCTGGATAGCCTGTACACTGGACCCTCTGATCACATCTCCAATGCTCTGCAGGCAAAGATACACTATATTGCCAAAAGTATTGGGACACCCCTCCAAATCATTGGATTCAGGTGTTCCAATCAGCTCATGGCCACAGGTGTATAAAACCAAGCACCTAGGCATGCAGACGCTTCTACCAACATTTGTGAAAGAATGGGTCGCTCTCAGGAGCTCAGTGAATTCAAGCGTGGTACCGTGATAGGTTGCCACCTGTGCAATAAGTCCATCCGTGACATTTCCTTGCTAGTAAATATTTCACAGTCACCTGTTAGTGGGATTATAAAAAAGTGGAAGCAACTCAACCACGAAGTGGTAGGCCACGTACAATGACAGATCGGGGTCAGCGCATGCTGAAGCGCACAGTGCGCAGAAGGCGCCAATTGTCTGCAGTCAATAGCTATAGAGCTCCAAACTTCATGTGGCCTTCAGATTGGCACAACAACAGTGCGTAGAGACCTTCAGGGAATGGGTTTCCATGGCCGAGCAGCTGCATCCAAGCCTTACATCACCAAGTGCAATGCAAAGCGTCGGATGCAGTGGTGTAAAGCACGCCGTCACTGGAATCTAGAGAAGTGGAGACGTGTTCTCTGGAGTGACGAATCACGCTTCTCTGTCTGGCAATCCAATGGACGTGTACGGGTTGGCGGTTGCCATGAGAACGTTACTTGCCTGACTGCATTGTGCCAAGTGTAAAGTTTGGTGGAGGGGGGATTATGGTGTGGGGTTGTTTCTCAGGGGTTGGGCTTGGCCCCTTAGTTCCAGTGAAGGGAACTCTTAAGTCCTCAGCATACCAAGACATTTTGGACAATTTCATGCTCCCAACTTTGAGGGAACAGTTTGAGGATGGCCCCTTCCTGTTCCAACATGACTGCGCACCAGTTCACAAAGCAAGGTCCATAAAGACATGGATGAGCGAGTTTGGGGTGTAGGAACTTGACTGGCCTGCACAGAGTCCTGACCTCAACCCGATAGAACCCCTTTGGGATGAATTCGAGTAGAGACTGCGAGCCAGGCCTTCTCGTCCAACATCAGTACCTGACCTCACAAATGTGCTTCTGGAAGAATAGTCAAACATTCCCATAGACACACTCCTACACCTTGTGGACGCCTTCCCAGAAGAGTTGAAGCTGTTATACCGGTAGCATCAAAGGGCGGGCCAACTCAATATTGAACCCTACAGACTAAGACAGGGATGCCATTAAAGTTCATGTGCGTGTAAAGGCCGGCGTCCCAATACTTTTGGTAATTTAGTGTATAATCTATGCACGTTTTATTTGACATGTTACATGTTTTATTAATGTCGGTGCAGTTATTACATTTCTGTAAAATGTGACTATGGCTTTTCGTTAAGTCTTAGTTGCCTGGCTGCCATGTTCTTCCTCAGTGGCTCAGCAGAGTTTGTTTACTTCTGACTTTATTCTGTCGGGCTGCACTGACAGTAGAGACATTCAGGGAACTCGCATTGTCTGTAGGCGACCCGGTGTTTCTGACTCCTCAGGACCGCCTCACGTCCTCTCTCCGTTCTGTATAACCAGGCCGGGCCGCGGTACATAGCTTTCCCCAGCACCTCCACACACGCGGTGCTTCCTCCGCCTCTCACCCTCTCAAAGTCCTCAATGAACTTGACCACATTTTCCTGTTGTCACATACGGGCACCCAGCGTCCAATCACACGCCACCGAGTCTCAGAGCCTTGTGTTCAAACTCTCCAGCGAGGGCCAATCAGGGGCGTCCCGGTCAATTCGGCTCCCCCTGCCCAATGAGCGCCCCGTAGGACGATCGCTGCGCCCGTCAACACAAGCCGTCGTCCTATCCGCGCGCTCCAAAACATCAAGGTGGGCGGGCACAAAAAAGCAGAGGAAGCCTTCGCCAATGGCAAAGCGCAGACTGCCAAAACAAGACGGCTGACCAATGGCCGTGCGAATCACGGGGTGTAGCGATGTAGACGGGCAGCGGAGCGGGCCAATGAGCGCTCGCGGTGAACCGCCAAGTCCGCCCACCGGTGGGTGACGCGCCGGGTCTTGTGGTGGAGGACATAAAGAGACGGCCGGGTGGGAGTGCGGAGCGGCGTCCGGGATGTCGGTGAACATGGAGGAACTGCGACACCAGGTGATGATTAATCAGTTCGTGCTGGCGGCGGGCTGTGCAGCGGACCAGGCCAAGCAGCTCCTGCAGGCGGCACACTGGCAGTTCGAGGTGAGACAGCAGAACACACCATGTTTACACACACACACACACACACCCTACACTGTGTACACAGAGCACGCTTCCAGCCTGCACACGCCGAGCCGTGCTCGTTTATTTATAGATGGAGAGCTGCATGGCTGTGACCATGTGACATCATAGACTGAGTAGAGTGGAGCCATAGATCTTCATACAAATGGAGATTCATGATATGGCAACACAAAGTGGAATAGTGTGATCATGTATGTGTGTGTTGTACTCGTCATGTTTGTGTTTATTCTACACACTCTATTTTACAATTAGATTCTATTCTCAATACACACCTGTCATGGGGAACAAAAATAAACACATGCTACCCCCCCCCACCCAAGACTTGGCAAAAAAAAGGGGTTGTCTGTGTAATAAAAGTAATAGCCATTCCTTTGCCAGTGCCACCAATCTTTTGTTTTCTTGATGCCCAAAAAATATTCAGATGCTGACACACTTCTGGAACTGTCAGATCTCTGCACCCCTCGGCTGAGGGCTGTGGGCTGTGGTTCCTCCCGCTGCCCCCTGGCTGCATAATGGGGTGGGGGATAAAACCATAGCATACAGTTGAGGGGGAGATCAGGGATCTGAGAATTACTGGATTCTTCTGCGGTGGTAGGTCATTGGCATGGAACAGGTAAGTATTCAAGGTGCAATCCAGGCACAGAAACCTCTCCTGCTTGCCCTCCAAGGTGTCCTTCATGTCGTTAGGTGGGCTTTTGGTTCATGTGATCACTGTCATTGGCTGTCACAGTGGTGACATGATCTGGAGTCCATCCTGCCATACACTGATTGTAAATGTTGGCAGCTCGATCACAGTGCTGAGTGAACATGCTCCCAGCATAGAACAGCAGCGCCCACTGTATACATATATAAGGCAGCCTGCTGTGTTGCCACATAAATGCACATAGCTGGTGGCAAGGTGTTAAAAATATCCCTCAATAGTCTCAAATAATATAAATCCACTTTGTGTGTACCAAATGCCTTTACAAACTGAGATATTGCTCTTCAAAAGTGGTGGTGACATCACAGGGCTTCACATAGCTTGAGCAGAGCTGTTGGAGGACAACAAGCCCCCTTACTATAGGCTGCCCTCCGACAATACAACAGGGGGCACAGACCAGACCAGTCACCCTGCAAGAAGGGAGAGCAGCAGTGAATGGTCTTTACAACAGGAAGCTCCAGCATAGAGGCAACGTTTCACACTGGATTACTGCACAGATCTGGAAGACAAAAAAAACAAACCCATCCTCACACTGCTATTGCAAAACATACTCCCTCCCCCCATTACATTTTTGCCTAAATAGTTCTCTTAGAAAATTTAAGTCCTCGTTGCCTCTACCTCCCTACTACTTCCCCCTGTTGCAGGAAAAGATACATTGTCCATGCTCCTGCAAGTTCCAAACTGTGCAGCCCACGGCTAGTCCCAATTCGTTTTCTTCTGCACATTGTTATAGAAAATGTATAAAGCAACAGTTTTCATAACAATGCAAGACTCGAGGGTGTTGAGAGCCCTGGCCAAGGAAGCTTACAGTCTAAATGTGTAAATCCTATTCATTTTCCATTCTTATGTAGAGGCCGTGTGTTGCCGGGACACATGATATACAAAAGTATACTTGTCCTTTAAACCAGGGGTAGCCAAACTCCGGCCCTCCAGCTGTGGTGAAACTTCAAATCCCATGATGCATCTCTCTCCGGGAGTCATGTCTGTGGCTGTGAAAATCTTGCAATGCCTCATGGGATTTGTAGTTCCACCACAGCTGGAGGGCCGGAGTATGGCTACCCCTGCTTTAAACTGTCCCTACACATTGCAATCTTCACATTTACAATTCAAATCCAATAACTGCTAAGTAGGGGGTAATGGCAGCAGAACCAAAGTCAATCTTTGACTTTAAGCTTGCTCTAACTTTCTGTCACTGCTCCGGCCTGGTTCCCCCCATCAAAGATTCAGGAGGATAAAAGAAGTTTCCTGTTGATTCTGAAAGACACAACCCGCCCCCCCAATTGTAAGGACCCTAGGCCTGGTGATTTGGCACTGCACTGTGGGTGGGAAGGGAAAGTGACTATGTCCCATATCTAGACGTTCCTGTGTTTGAATGAGGCGGAGATGAGGAGGGGGGGGGGCGGTGATGGTTTGTTAAGGCAGCATAACCAATAGCAATGGGAAGCCAGTGCAATATTTATTCTATTTACTGCACTTAAGAATAAGAACTCCCATGAATGAGTCCAAATAACTAAAAGTTGCCCAAAATTGAGAATCAAATTCTCTATACCTCTCTCTTCTCTATAAATCTGGCGCTGGTTGAGAAGGAAAGCATGTGTCTAAAGGGCACAGGTTCATATATATATATATATATAATAATGTACACATTGGCCCTACACTTAATATACGTACCCGCTGCGCTGATTCTAAAACAAAGTTGGAAAGGTTACGGGTGTGAACGTCTTGATGTACGTTTGGACCAAGATTTGATGGTTGGGAGCCCGCTGGTACTTGTGAAACGCCGACTTTTGTCATCGTCATCTGTTCATAAATCTAGATTAGAAAACATTAGTACAAGCCTGTAATCTTTGAGGGATAAGTCGGAGTCCTTGCAGGAAGGATGCGAGCCGCCTATGTAAAAGGCCGGGGGCATGCTCCGAAAACTACAAAATCAGTCACTATTGATGTCCATTCTTTTCTTTGTTTTATAATGCAATAAACACAATTCCAGGATCATCTTAGATGTTGGCTATGTATGTCTTACTGTCAGGGATTTGTGTGCATTATGGTGCAGTGTACACACTTCATGTGGTCTGCTCCTACACTGAACAATAGAAATCTAAAAGGAGTTGTATTACTGGCAGATAGCCACGCAAGATATATCCTGAGCTATTCATATAAGCATGCACACAAAAAAAATCAATGCATGTATTAATAAATCATAATGATTGTATGATGAATCAATGCATGTATTCATATTACAATATTGATTTATAATTAATACATACATGTATAAATCATAAATTAAAAAAATATATATATTTATTTTTTTTCATTCATAAAGCTTGAATCATTGCATGTATCGTGTGCACATTAATTTGTTTAGGACATTGCTGTGTATTAAGCGTGCGTAGATAATTTCCTCTTATTTATTTTTAATGAAGCATTGCTCTAAATGACGAGTAAAGTCTACCATTAGACAGTCTTGTCTCCTATTCAACTTGGTGGTAGAAATGTTTCTGGGGGTTGTAAATGACTTGGCGTTTGTCTACTGACACTTTACCGAGCTCCTATAGGAGCAGTGGGGGGTTTAGGGCCCACACGTCTATTTATAAACACAGTAATTGTATCTCTCATATACTTGCATGAGCTCAAGGACTAGAATATAACCACACTGGGCATCTGTCAGGAGGTAGTTGCGGCAAAGGGGTTTCTGCACCTACCCCTAAGAGCTAGTTGGAGAATGAAGGATGCAAAAATCATGAAATATCATCTGGCTGCTAATTTGAGGAAGGATCATGAAAAACCTTTGTATTTCCTGTGTAGCACGTCATTCTTCTATGTTGATGCATTGAGGAAACTGCCAAAAGCTGCAGCATAATTGTGCTATTTATTTTAAATATCTGTCGTTCTGCGTCACCAATATCAAATTCATATCTAACATCTGAGGGAATGTAGTCAAAGTTGTTTTTTAAAAAAACACCCACTGTGCCTTAAATTAATATTCTGTAATAGGCACATGAATATAATTTAAGCTTTAACCTTATGAAAGCTGCTTTACTTTGTTTTTTCCAAATACTTTCATGCAAGTGACTTCATAGATTTTTAAAATACACTCGAGACACAAAAATCTAAACCTAATTCTGGAAATGGAAGGTATCTACAAATGATAAATAAGACTGGAGCCCCGCATGTTCTTGAAAATATTCTTTAATAGGCATGGCATGTCGTATGGGATTTGAGAACCAGTTTAAGCCAACCGATTTTGCTGCTTTTTGTGAATTTCTGTTTTTATGGGGGGATTTAATCACAAAAAAGGAAAGGTTTTTTTTTATATTTGCTTTAGTAAATATTTAGGTTTTAAAATGGCTCATTTTAGCCCATGCGTTGGGTTTTATTGTGAAATCCTGCAGTGTGGCACGTTAAAGGGTTAATGTTCATTGTTGTTGTTGTCAGTTTTGTCCCCGCCTTGTTCTGCTGCACACATACAGAGCGGATTGACTGCTCTTCAAGCTTCCTTTTCTCATCAAGAGGAACATTTATTTCATTTTGTGTTTGTTTTTTTTATCATGAACTATGATGGGCTTTTTTTGTTTTTGTTTTTATTCCATGGGATATTTTGTATCTCAGCCAACAAGAGACATTATATGGAAGGGGGTAGTGACCTGAATCTTTGTCTCTTGCTTCTATATGTTCAGCATATATTTAACACTAGTGTAGAATGGACACATTGTTAGCTAGGCAGCTGCACGGAAGACTCATTTTTATCATTAAAAACACAAAACCTTTTCTCACAGCAGCTCGTATGAATATTTTTGAAGAGTTAAAGGAATTTGTGGTCTTGCTGATGTTTTTGTGTGTACGTTTTGTAAACAAACTGTACGTTCCGCAGCACAAGCTATGTTTGTGTGGTTTTTTTCTCTCTGATTATTAAGCAATCACGTCTGCACAAAGCTGTTTAAACTGCAGACGCTCTGTATCGGGACAAAGAGCTCCCATTTACAAGTCACTGGAATCCCGGTTTGATGTATAGCCGGGTTTTTTCATTTAAATACATACCTTCATGATGTTTTTTTTTTCTCTTCTTTTGGACCGCATAAGCAGCTTGGCATGTGCTGCAATGTCCTGTCTTTGCATATCAACAGGGCTTGAAAAATTTGACGGTGTCTCACCAGTCAGTCAAAAATTTCACCAGTCAGCATGACCGGACTATAGCCTTGCAATTTATGTTAAAAAATTTTGGGGACAGATGGGAGCTTTCTTTTGTGACCCCACGGGGAGTTTTTTTTTTTTGTTTTTTTTTTACCTGCATATCAATGTGCATGGAGTAATTGATGGTGGTCACATTTAAAATGCATTTAATTTTTCTTAGAAAAACAAGTAGTGGATACAAAACCATGCCGCCTTATTAGTATTTATTTATTATTTTTAACCATTAGCCAATGCTCCTTAAAGCGGAACCAGCCACCTCACTAAACATCACATCAGCGTGCAGCTCTGCATGCTGATATGAAATCATCTTATATTAGTTAAACATATTTTTTTCTTTTACTTACAAGGATTATTTTTCACACTTCCTGGTCCTCTTGGGCATTAGTGATGTGCCCAAGCAATGCATCCTAGAAAGCAAGCATTGGCAATGCATCCCCCCCCACCCCAAAAAAAAATCCTGCTCCCTCCTGATTTCTATCATTTGTCCACCCCTGCCATAGTTTAAGGTTTGTCCTGTAATCACACATTGGCACAGACTGCAGCATTTCAAAGAAAAACGCGCTGCAGTGTGAACTATTGCTCGTGTCCGTTGCATTTTACCAGTGTGCTGCACTGGTGGTGGTGGCAGGCTTGCAGTACAAGAAATCACACAAGCCTGAACAGGCCCGAAATGTAAGTAATCCACTCGGATACATGAAAAGGAGAATCACAGGGCTGGTGACTCGTTCTGGATATAAATGTTATACATCTTCACTGTGAGGAATCATGTTTATATACTCCAAGGGCAAGCATAATTATTGTGGCATTCAGTAGCCAGTCTGTCCAACCCAGGAGTCATCAGGATTTGTTTTTAGGAGGCGGCGCCATCGACTTAACTAGAGAACGTCAAAAGTTGAGCTGTTATTTTTAAGGAACATTGGCTACCTGGCTCCTAGGGTATTTCCAGCTTTGATTTACACTGTAGGCCAGTAGAGGTCAACTTACGGTTTGTTCCCATTCACTCATGAAATGTCTTGTATGCACAGCTATGGGTGTTCACCCTTCTGTTCATCTCCTATATTTTATAGCACCAGTTATTGGATAAAGCTTTACAATTCAAAGTGAATCCAATGCCTCCACTAAAGTCATAAACTCGACCAGATTGGTAAGATGTTACCAAACCTTTGGGGCCTTCAGTGTGGCCCTTGACTTCGCCAAAGGGCCACACAACACTAAGTAATGCTACAGAAAGCTGTCAGACTGAAAACATGCAACAGGAGATATTCGGAGACTGCAGATGTGTTGTAGATGTTTTTGGAGACCGGGGACTTGTTTTAAAAGACATATGAGTTGACTTACTGAAGGCAATTATGCTTTTCCGTTTACAAGGGAATTTTTCCTCAATCAGGCCAAACACTTTGACTGGTTCTTCATGGACTGGCCGAAATTTGCAGTGGGTGCAGCTGTCGGCATTTTTAGCCCAGCATCCCTCAATCAGAAGTTTGAATGTGCCGGTTGGGAAAATCTTCGCACAAACAGAGGCGGCAACCAATGAGCTGCTGGCTTAGTTGGGGTATTTTGCCAGCGGCCACTGTCGCAGTACAGGACAGTGGACAGCAGGAGATTCCTCCAACGCGCATCAGTTTATGGAGTAATGTAATATTTTCTTCGCTCAGTCTGCACGTAGAAAATATGTATGGCCAGCTTTAGCTTGGTGAATGGTGAAAATACACTTTGCTAAGAATACACATAATAGAATGATGGAATCAGCAGAGCTTCACCTCCTTCACTAAGCTAAGGCACTATTCCCTTGCGAAGTGGACAGACTATTGTGTTTAGTAAATCATCACCATAGACTTCAAGCAACAAGTGTCATTGACTGGAGACGCATGACACGAGAATGTTAGAAGTCACTGCTTTTTACAGGTCAATGTCTCCACATTTGTGCTCGCTATGTACCCTCCCAAAATCTACTTGTGATATCTTCCTCCACAAGATCCCTAATAAAACATTGGAGGAAAAAGAAAAAAGCGGACAGCACAGAAAATAACAAGTGTGGGGGGGAAAAAAGCAATGAACTACACAACCTGTACATGTTTTAGCTGCTAGAAGCTTCAGTATTAGAAGTTATGTTTTACATCTGTTCTGTCTTGTTGGTTCAAGTCACAAAAACAGATGTCTACTGCCTTCTGAAAAGCAAGCTTGTGTATGTAAGCAGCCTGTTCATGACTGGCTGCTGTCCGGTTTGTCCCCATTCACTCATGAAGTGTCTTAGTTGTACACCCTTCTGTCCATCTATATTTTATAGCACCAGTTATTGGATAAAGCTTTACAATTCAAAGTGAAATGAGCTTACAATCTAATGCCACCACTAAAGTCATGACCAGATTGGTAAGCATTTACCAAACATTTGGATAGAGTAGGGAGTGGTTAGGACGTGCTGTCTGTCGCATTTTAATTCCTGTCTTGAGACAAATGAGCGTTGGTTTTCTTGTCCTCCCAAGAATTCTCCCTGGAGCAAGTGTCCTCGTTGGAGGATTCTACCTCTTTTCCTGTTCCAGTGACAACTCAGAAATATATGAATTGTCTTGCTTATAGCCCCAATGAAAATGGTTTCCAGGACAAACAGGTTAAATATCCCCAGCAGGCACAGAAACGCAATAAAAACAAGACTGGTGGTTTTAACCCTTCCCTACTCCAAAACAAAACCTGCTTTTAGATGCACTTGAACTTTTTAGGGTGTTTATAGGCTGTTGGAGAAAACTGGAGCACCTGGCGGAGGCCTACGAAGAACAAACACCCTACAGATAGTCTGGTGGGGGTTAAACTCTTGACTTCAAAACTGCATGAGAGCATTTGCTAGTTTGTTTGTGTTGGTGAGAGTACCTGAAAATCAAAGTCTAAACCACTTAATTTTTCCAAGAATCTAATATCCCCAGTGCTCAACATCATCCACACATGGTGAGTTTGTCATTTCTCTATTCCTTTTAACCACTTGTCATTATTTTTTGAAATGCTTGAAGGGTTAATATCATCCAAGCGTAGGTTTGAGTAGTTGCCCCTAGTGGCAGGAATGTGTATTACAGACCACTGCGTGTTTCCAGTACTGTGCAACACTTGTAAACACAGCTGAGCTGTGCGTGTAACCATTCCAGCAAAATGGTCTTCAGGATAGTGTTTGCCTTAAGCTTATGGGCGTTGATGTATGTGTAGGATCGTTTCCTTTTTTTCATGTTCACAGATTATATACATGTATGTGATTTTTTTTTTTTTTTTT